CCCCCCCCCGGCCCCATGAAATCCCTAACACATGAACCCCTTTCAAAAAAACTCCATAATTCATGTAATAACCCACACCCCAACAGCCCCCTATTGTGAGACTGAACAACAGAAAGACACACCGACTCTCCAGCATGACACGTCTGAATAATTCATCCCCCTTGACATTAGAGTTGATCTGTCGGTCAAAAGTCCAAGGAGTTGTGACATTCTCCCCGAATTGTCACGTCGCCCTTCACCTTTAATCGCCGATTCCCGACGAATTAAAACCTTAAAGACTCGAGTAATGAAAAAAAAAAAATTCTCCCAACCCTTTTCAGGGAGTTGATGCTCCCGAGCGCACGCGCAAATTCGTGCAGATGGCGCAGCACGTAGTCTCTTCGATTTTACACCCCCATACTTTACCACCTAACCCCCGGGTTCATCCCTCCCCTCCACCAACTCCTCTTTCAACCGCACTCGTCGAACTTTCGGGTAGAGGAGCCCATGAGGAACACTCGTGAGGGGTTGGAAGGAGGTGGGGGGAGGGGGAGGGTTATAAAGCGTACCCAGAGGTCTTTGCTCCCGTTTAATATTTCAGAACAGTCCAACCACCAATAGCCAAACGTACTGAACATCGTACATTGACTATAAAAAAAGAGAAGAATCGAGTTATCTTGGAATTGTACACAATCGTTTCCGATGGAATAAAAGTAAAGAAGGAATTGGCGAGGCAAATTGTGGGGGCTGAATAGGTGAATTTTATTTTTGATAGCAAAGGTTGGATGATATGAGGGAGGGATCTATGGTTTAATCAACGCAGATTAACTCACGCGATTTTACCGGTACAATTTAACCCCCACGATTTGACCCATTACGTTGACCTATTCCAAAATATTTAACCCGTGCAATTTAATCCTGACAGTTAGACCGATTTTATTGATCTATGTCATGCTATTTGAGCCTGATGATTTGACCCATTATATTGGGCTATGCCACACTATTTAACCCTCACGATTTGACCCACTATATTGACCTATGACACACTATTTGACGCTCACGGTGTGACCGATGCAATTTGAACCTTACGATTTAACCCATTACATTGACGTATTCTAACCTATTTGATCCACGCAATTGGAACCATCATATTGATCTATATCACACTATTTGACCCCCGTAAGTCCGAGCCTGGCGAGTTTACCCATTATATTGACCTATGCTGCACTATTTAACCCTCACGATTTGACCCATTATATTGGGCTATGCCACACTATTTAACCCTCACGATTTGACCCACTATATTGACCTATGACACACTATTTGACGCTCACGGTGTGACCGATGCAATTTGAACCTTACGATTTAACCCATTACATTGACGTATTCTAACCTATTTGATCCACGCAATAGGACCCATCATATTGATCTATATCACACTATTTGACCCCCGTAAGTCCGAGCCTGGCGAGTTGACCCATTATATTGACCTATGCCACACTATTTAACCCTCACGATTTGACCCATTATATCAATCTATTCCGAACTATTTGACCCACACAATGTGACCTTCACGATTAGACCCATCATCTTGACCTATTCGACCCATGCAGTTTGAGCCTCACGAGTTGACACGTCACATTAACCTACGCCACACCATTTAACCCATCCAATCTGAGCGTGAGGGTAAATTCAACCTCCAAAAATAGTTAATTTTAAGACCGAAATACCGAACCCCTCACACTGCCGATATCAACACCGATTTTTTTTACTGTCTGGAACTTCACTCTGTTATCTCATTCCTCCCCACTTTCCCCTAAATTTTGCTAACAAAGTTGTTATGATGAGGAGGAGAGGAAGAGGGGGGAGGGGAGCGGGTGAGGGGAGATGAGGAAAAACTTAAAGGACAAACAAGATGGTGAATTTTTTCAACAGGAGCGGTGGAGGGGGCGTGGCTGGTGTGGACAGGTCCGAGAGGAAAAATGCAGACTCAAGGGCCAATACAAACGGGATATATGTTTTGGGGAGAAATCGTTTTTCTGTCTTTTCGACTCGGCCATACGGCGACTCGTACATATACCGTTTTTTAGGAATTAATGGACCACACGTGCACGTTATAAAGAGGTGGGGGTCGTTTGGAGTTGGAATATTTATGGGTTGGAGAGGAGGTGGTGAATGTTTTTCGTAATTCTGGGGAAATGAGGAAATCGAAGTTTTTTGGAGGTTAAATTGAATTTGAGAAAATTGATGGATAAAAAATGTTTCGTTTTTTTCAATTTTTTATTTGATTTAGTAAGGGGGGGGGGGCAAAATGGAATGGTAATGAATTTCATTGTTGAAGGGTCAAACAGGAAAGACGAAAGGAGCGATCGGAAGAATCAAAGTCTCTAGATTTTTTTTCTTTCTCCGTAAAAAAAAGGCTAGGTATTTTTTCGCATTGAGAGGATAGGGTTTGGAAGGGGTGGAGTTTGTTCATTATTGTGAGCATTCATGCGGTGATTTTAATGAGAATTTTTATTTTCCGAAAAATAATTCAATTATCATTATCGAAATAATTTTTCACAGTAATGGGATATATGAGGGGTAAAAAAAATTGTTCATATTATTTGCAGAATATTTATGAAACTGCAGATGCGGAATCGTATGGAAATTAAACAACTTTTACTGCAGGGAGTATCAGTTAAAAATAGGTCGTAATTGTTCTCTGACAATGGT